GGTGTTCTCTTTTTTTCTAGGTTTTCAGGACATCACTGTCTCCTGGTTCTTCTCCTTCCTATCTGACCACTCCTCAGTCCTTTGGTGGATCCTCATTCAGATCACACCATCCAGAACACAACCCTGTTCCTCAGGGTCTGTCCTTGGCCCTCTTCTTTTCTCTCCCTACACTACTTCACCTGGTGATCTCATCAGCGACCATAGGTTTAATTATATTTCTCTGTGCTCATAATTCTCAAATCTGCCTTTCCTGCCCCAACACCTCTGCTGACCTCCAATCTTGCATCTCCAGCTGCTTTCAGACATCTCAAACTGGATGTCCAGTAGACATATTAAATTTGATATGCCTAAAACATAAGTTATTCTCTTTCCCCCTAAACCCACCACCTTTCCTACCTTCTCTATTACTGTATTACTGTATAGCATCCTCCCAGTCCCTTGGCCTCTCAACCTATCATCCCCCATATCCAAGCTGTTGCCAAGGCCTACCTACTCTGTAACATCTCTCCTATATTGGCCCTTTCTCTTCTCTAACACTTCCACCATTCTAGTGCAAGCCCTCATTACCTCATAATTAGACTATTGCAGTTGGTGGGTCTGCCTGCTTTAAGTCTCTCCCCACTTCTTTTCCCTCAACTAATATGGAAATATGTTTTACATGATTATACATAAATAACCTATAACAAATTTCTTACTGTTTTAGGAAGAGGGGAGGAGAAGGAGGAAAGGAGAAATATTTGGAGCTCAAAATTTTGTAAAAATGGGGGCAGCTAGGTGACACAGTGGATAGAGCACCAGTCCTGGGGTCAGGAGGACCTGAGTTCAAATCCGGCCTCAGACACATAACACTTACTACCTGTGTGACCCTGGGCAAGTCACTTAACCCCACTGCGTAGCCAAAAAAAAATTTGTAAAAATGAATGCTAAAAATTGCCTTTACATATAATTGGAAAAAAAAATACTGTCAAAAGTCTCTCCCCGATTCAATCCATTCTCCATTCAGCCACCAAAGTAATTTTCCTAAAGCACAGATTCAGCCATGTCACTTCTCTACTCAGACTTCAGTGATCTCTTATTGCCTCCAGGAGCAAACACAAAATAATCTGTCATTCAAAACCTTTCACAACTTAGCCCTCTCCTACCTTTCCAGTCTCCTTATACCTTATTCCTTAATCCAGCAACAATGGCCTCCTGGCTGTTGTGCCACCCTCCCTTTCTTTCTCTGGCTGCCCCCTATCCATGCCTGGAATGCTTTCCCTCCTCAACTCCACCTACCGACTTGCCTGGCTTCCTTTAAGTCCCAACTAAAATCCTGTCTTTTACAGGAAGCTTTTCCCAACCCCTCATAATTCTAGTGTCTTCTCTATGATGAAATGGATAGTTTCAGAAAAACCTTGAAAGAAATTCTATGAACTATTGCAAAGTGAAGTGAGTAGAACAATGTACACAGTAGCAGTAGTATTGTAATGATAACTGTGAAAGACTTAGTAACTCTGATCAGTACACTGATCCACAACAATTCCATAGGACTCATGATGAAAAATACTGTCCACCCCCAGCTGTTGTTTGTCCTTCATTCTTGAAGAGGACCATGATATCAGGAAGGTGATGCCATGACTTTCAAGTGAATTGGATTTAAGTGAAGGAGGGCTGTGCAAGGTTACCCGCCTCATTTTGTCTTCTAGAGCCATCTGGGTCCAGTGGCAAGATATAGATCAGGATGGCTGGAGATGGCCCTGGATGCAGTGGGAGACCTGGGTCTTTTTATGTCAAGGTCTGTCTGAGTTCTCACTTTGAGGCAATGCCCATTCAGTGATTAAGGCTGGTTAACAAATGAACTGAGGAATGGCCCCTTTTTACCTAATAAAAACAAAAATTCAATCTGGGAGGGGAAGACCCTCAAGGTTTCTGCCCAAAACTGAAACATTTACAATTTACATTCACTCTGAGTTATCTGGGCCCAAACAATGACCACTAAGTGGTGCTTGGGCTGGGACCTATTACTGGCTCGTCAATGAAGGCCAGACTGATTTGGGTTTAAGGCATGGTGTTTAAGAAAGAAATCTAGCCAGTAAACCCCAAGATATCTTGCTAGGTTTCAGTCATCAAAATTTACATTCAGAGAAGGGAAGAGGGAAGGCAAGAGGGGAGAGAAGGGAAGGAGGGAGGAATAAAAGGAAGGAAGGAAGGAAGGAAGGAAGGCGGGAGGGAGGGAAGGAGCTGAGTTGCCCATCCTTTGGGCCTATATCCTTTGATCATTTATCTCTTGGGGCAGGGCTCTTAGTCTTATAAATTTGAATCATCCTTATATGTCTTAGATGTAATCAGAGAAACTTGCTGCAGATTTTTTCCCAAGTTAATCTATTTCCCTTCTAATTTTAACTATGTTAGTTTTGTTTGTGCAACATCTTTTTAGTGTTTTAATTAAAATTGTCCATTTTGCCTTTTGTGATCCTCTTTATCCCTGGATTGGTTATTGTTAGGGGCAGACAATGCTAGCTTCTTCAGTTCATGTTAGATATTGTGACAAAATGAGACACTCACAATCATTGAACAGTTAACCAAAGGAGGTTTACTTTTCTCTAACAACAAAGATATGCAATAAGGGTGCAGTGGTGCTTTGCAATAATGCCCAGGTTCTAGGTTTATTAGCTTTTGCATACTTGCATTCTAGGGGCATTTGACCATACTAGCCAAACTGATTTTCACTGGTCAACAATTTGTAAAGTGCTTTGCAAACCTTAAAGCATTATATAAATATTAGCCATCATTATTATTATATAAAATCCCAAGTGGGAAAAAATCTATTCCAGACTAGTTCCCACTTAGAACCAGTTGGTTTCACTGTGAGACAAGATTCAGCCTTTCCCTTCCCATGGGGCATCCCTAATTAGTCCACACTGCTATTCCATTCTATTGTAGATAGCTGGAATTTTCCCCGGAGACACACTAGTTCTAATCCACACACCAGGCCTGAAATGACTTGGATAATCTTTCTCTGCCATTTAGATACTTAAAATGATTAGTAACCAAAACCATAAGATTCTCTTTCAGTCAAACAATCCAAGATTAAAACCCTGGCTATCTGGACAGGGTTTTAATCCCTTGACTTCCCCCCCCCCCCAGCTGTATATGCCAAACTAGACACTGGCTTCCTCCATTTTACTCTCTTTCCCTCTTCTTATGTTATGATGTTATATTATGTGTTATGTGTCACAAAATGGTTATGTTTGATAATGGTTTTATGTAAAGGGCAAGATGTCTTCAAAGACACAAATTAAATCAGGAGTTATATTGACACTTAAAGAACAATCAACCAATAAACATTTGTTAAGCGCCTACTATGTGCCAGGTACTGTATTAAGTACCTCACAAATATTACCTCATTTGATTCTCAAAACAACCCTGGGAGGTAGGTGCTATTATTATCCTCATTTTATAGTTGAGAAAAACAGATTGAGTGACTTGCTCAGGGTCACACAGCCATTTGAACTCATCTGTTCTGACTCCAGGTTCAGCCACTATACACCCCTTAGCTGCCTGGTATGTAATAGTAATAGCTAGCATTTATATAGGATTTTAAGGTTTACAAAGTGCCTTACATATATTATTCATCTGATCTTCCCAACACTGAGGTAGATGATATTTTCATCCCTTTTTACAGAGGGAGAAAATGAAGCTGAGAGAGGTTTAATGATTTACTTAGAATCATTCAGCTAGTGTCTGAAGCTGAATTTGAACTCAGGTCTTCCTAATTCCAAGTCCAGCAATTGAAATACACTCTGCAATTTAACTACCAACAGTTGTTTCCCCAGGAGCTGCTACTGATGTCAAACCTACAATGCAAAGTGTCTGATTTCCCTCTTTGATTTCCATGCCTCTCTTCTTTCTGTTTCAGATCAGTCCAAAAGCCCCTGGGATGGCAGCACTGTTAGTCCTTGCTCAAAGCCTGTAATAGTCTTTCCCAAGCTTGGAAAATATAATTTTTTCTTTCCCGGACTACAATTCCCTAGAATTCACAACCAAGTTGTTTACCTTTTCATTCTGGGGAGAAAAGCAGCTTGCCTGTTTAAGACATAGCTCCTCTTTTGTTTACTTCAGACTCTGAAAAGCTTCTGACAGCCTATACAAGCTTCTTGCTTAGCAGGGGGATGGATAGGCTTGGAGGTGGTGTTTGGGGTTACTTCTCTTTGTCAGGGGGTTGTACACATAACAGGATAACTTCAGCGTGCAAACTTTTTAGCCCCAAACAAAACTCACCTAGCTTTTGTAATGTTATAGTTGTCATTTTTGTGGTGGTTGTCATTTTGTTCTGTTTTAGACACTAGAGGGGACTGTGGCTTTATGAGCTACATCTCTCAGACACTAATGGAGATATCCCACACACTTTGATTTCATATGAGAGAACCTGAGCAAATGTATTGAAATCTTGCAAGAAAAGAGGGCCTTTTAAAGCATTTCCCAGATATTGAAACATGGCACTTTACTTCTATTTAGTTCCACAGATTTAATGTTTTTCCAACTGTTTTTCTTGCCATATTTTAGCTACTGTAGTATGAAATTAAAGTCTAATTGAGTTGATTTTTTTGTTTAGATTAAGTAGGAATAAATATACCTTCCAATATAATTAAAAATTACTTCTTACAATTTTATTTTTAACAGCTTTCCCTGTGATAGTCAGAAAAATGGATCATTTCCTTTAGACAAGTTATTACTGACTCTGAATATCCAACCAACAACTAACAGCAGCATTATATACACATAAGTAATCAATTAATGCTCATTGATTGTCTTTTCTGAAGACTAACAGGAAGAGATTTTGTTGCTATGCATTCAAAGAAATCCATGCTGAAAGCAATGTAGCTTTAAACGAGGCAGATTTGTATGTGCTGCCTTTATAAAAAATACTAGTCAAAGTAAACAGATCTGTTAATAATTAAATACTGGTGTGTTATCTAAATAGCTGTCAATGCAGATTGAGAAAGAGAGCACTTATCCTGTGAGCTAAACTGGCAAACAGAAAGGAAATATATTCACCAAAGGTTTTTTTTAAAAAACTTTTTGTTATAGCAAGTGAAAAATGCATCTCTTGTTTTGGAGGCAGTATTTTCATGCGAATAATAAACTTTGAATGTTTTTTTGAATTACTACTTTCTGTTATGTCATGGAACAGTTTGGAGTTCACAGAATTTTCCTTCTAGTCATTTCCTTGATAAAGATCTTGGAGAGTACAAAACTGCTGGCAGAGTTTAAAAAGTGCGGAGATGTGGAATGTGAAAGTAAGTTTGATTTTTTTTCCCTTACATCTTAATTCTGAAATGATTGCAAATAGTAACATAAATACATAGCATAAATATTAAAATTAAAATATTTAGCATAAATATTGATATGCCATTGGGAAAAAGATGAAGTTATAAAGGTTAACTTAGTGGATTATCTGTGAAAAATATTAGAAGGGAAGTATTCTGTGGCACTACCTTATAGAAATATTCAAAGGGTCAAAGTTTGGTATAAATTCAGATGACATAGAGGTCTTTCCAGTCATTACAATCAAATTTGTTAGCATTTTAAAATGTACTTGATTATTTACCATTTTATTTTCCTACTTATTCACCACTTTGTTTACTGGAGTACATAAACTACTTTGTATTTGTACTCTTACTGGTTTATACAACAAAAGCTTTATTTTAATTTTCAATCATGTTCTGGGTCTCATTACTTCTCCAACAATTTAAAAAATATATTTGAGCCACTATGACTTACACTGTTGTGTGTGTATATGTATGTATGTATGTATGTATGTATGCTTAAATTTTAGCATCCCTAACCCTCAGGGGTTCATTATTAATTTTTTGTGTATTCCTTATGCAAACCTTTAACTGATATGAAAGGCTTCTCTCATGATTTTGTTTATGTATATGTGCAATGCAAGTTAGATTTTCTTTCTAAATCTATTACAAAAAATATTTTGGTTATTACATCTACCTTTAAGTTGACGATGTAGGGCTCTATAATTTGCAAACTACTCTATTTCCATTTACCATTCCATGCTCACAACAGCTCTTTGAGGTATGGTAGTTATTATTCTCCCCATTTTACAGACCTGGGACCTAATATTCTGAGCAGTTAAATAACTGCCCATGATCAACATAATTTGAGTTGTTCTCTTGAACCCAGGTCTCCTACCATCATGTGGAATAATTGTAGCCTAATTGATTAGAATGGCTTCAAATAAGTAATTATTGTCTGTCTGATATGTAACCTTTATTTCTAAACTTTTGAAAAAGTACTTTTATTAATCCTTCTTCTAAAGCGTAAACTAAAGTGGGGAACAAGATTTATCAGTCATTTTCTCATCTGCAATTTATTTCCTGTCTCAAATTTCTTTTTTTCTCACATTTTCATATCTATAGCGTCATAATTTAGACAGTAATGTCAAATTCAAATAGAAAAGGGACCACTAAACCATATGTAAGGATCCTGTGGCTGCATATTGACTTAGAAAACCACATATTAACAGTATCTACACTCTATTGGATTTTTATTTATTTTGCTAAATATTTCCCAATTCCATTTTAATCTGGTTTGGGCCGCACTTGGGAGTAGCCCATGGGCCTTGTGTCTGAAAACTCTGGTTTAGATCAACAATAAAGAAGACATTCCAATTTGTGTATTTTATGTGATATTTAAATTTAATTAGTGGTCTTATTAAATCACATTTTCACTGAGGAACAGCACTACTGTAAGTATGAAATTATTTCAATGATTTTGATATATACATTTCAATGATTACTATATATATATATATATACACAGATGCCATATATTATGTTCATGTTGAAGGGATTAATCTTAGGCATTTGGTAAATTACTCATTCAATAAATTTTTTGGAGGTTATCTTGTGGGCTGAGGGGAATAGGAGAGAAATGTAAAACATATTTCCTGCCCTTATATAGATTAGGGGGCAAGACCTAACACCTATGAAAAAATTAATACTACAATGTGAGCAATGCACCATTAAGACCATAGAAATGGACAAAGATTGTTTTGTAGTTGAGCAAGTACTTAGCTGTATGTACCTCAAAGGACTTTTAGTAGGATTTGTCAAAATTATTGGAAAAAATTTTAAAATTCATCTAGTTAAACTCCTCATTTTAAGAGTGAGGAAATTTCCCACAAAAGGAGAAATTTGCTCTACTTCATGCAGCTGGGATTTTCTAAATGGATTCTTCTGACTCTAAATATTTCCATAATACCATGATGGATGTTCAGATTTTGAGCTAGAAGGGACCATAGTCTTATTTTACAGATGTGGAACTTGAGATGCATGTAGGTTAAGTGACTTGCCCAAGGCCACACATATAGTAAATAGAACTGGGATTTTAACTCCAGCTCTTTGGCCCCAAATCCAGAGCTCTTTCCATTATACAAACTCTACTTTCTTAGCTTTTTTTTTATTCTGAATTTACCAAGCACCAAAAAAAGGAAACTTGCACATAGAAAGTAAAATACAAAAAATAAATTGTAACTGAAATTACAAATTTATATACAGAATGCATTTTAACAATCATATGATAAATTCAGCATGTTACTTTCAAAGCTGTTTTGTTTGTTTCCCTCTGAACTTTCTCATATTTCTGTCTGAATATTTTTTATTTTATTTTTTTTAGGCAATGGGGTTAAGTGACTTGCCCAAGGTCACACAGCTAGTAAGTGTCAAGTGTCAGAGGCTGGATTTGAACTCAGGTCCTCCTGACTCCAGGGCCAGTACTCTATCTACTGTGCCACCTAGCAGTCCCCCTGAATATTTTTAAGATGCTTCAATGACCTCTTTTATTTCTTCTCTCTCTCTCTCTCTCTTTTTTTTTTTTGCAATTCCATCCTTCTTCCCAAACCCCTTTCCCCGCAAATAAAAACTAGAAAAACACAATCTTTGTAAAAACTAAGCATTGTCAAGAAAAACAAATCATCATAATCACCATATCCACATCTTTATCCTATACCTTGGGTCCACCAACCAACCTTCTATCAGGAGATGAATAACATGCTTTATCATCTGTCTTCTGAAGTCTTGGCACAGGCAGGGAGAACAGCCCAGAGTTATACTAACCAGCAATGAACATAGTGTGATCAGAGGACAGTAAAAAGATTATTGGAAAGTAGTGAGAGAAAAAGTTGGATATGCAGTAGGGAACCACTGGAGATTTTTAAATAGGGAAATAATTTGATGAAATTGGCGTTTTGAAAATTAATCTGGGGGCAGCTAGATAGCATAGTAGATAGAGCGCCTGCCCTGGAATCATGATGGACCTCAGTTCAAATCTGGCCTCAGATACTTACTAGCTTTGTGGCCCTGGGCAAGTCACTTAACCCCAATTGATCCCAAAAAAATAAAAATGGAAGAAGAAAATTAATCTGGCGAGTGATATGAAGGATGGCTTGGAGGGAGAAGAGACTAGAGGTAGAACATTTTTAAATATTAGTTTTTAAACTATGTATTTTCTTTAAATGATTATATAGCTTTAATAAACAGAGCAGTAGCGCTAAGAGATTACAGAGGACCTGACTGCCAATACTTGAACTTCAAAACAGGAGAAGAGATATCTGTTTACGCCAAACTTTCAGGAGAAAGAGAAGATTTGTGGGCAGGAAGTGTAAGTATCTTGTTCAACACTGAATTCTGAACCAACGTTTGCGTATGTAGGATGGGATATGATTAAGATAAGTAAAATATGTTTTGCACTTCTAAAAGAGCTTTCATCTAAAGTTATGGAAGCACTTTGTAGATATTAACAAAGCCTTCAAACACATCTGAAAATCTGAACAAAACTGGGTACTTGTGGGAAAGAATAGAACTATACATTGGATTCAAAGGTGTGCTTTCTGTCAAAAGAGAATGAACTTGTTACCACAGAAGACTTCTAGTGAAAGAATCATTGCCTAGGAAATAGAGAAGAGCATTTTTCATAGGATAAACAACTTCTATTAGGCCCAAAGTCCAGGTAGATTGAGGTTCACAAAAACCTCATTGCTTTGGACTGCTTTCCTGAGTCATTAACATGAACAAATTAATGATTAATGCCTTCAGAGGAAAACAGGTATGTGTAACTCTGCATCATTGTCTCTTGGTCCAAAAATGTTATGACTAATAATCTTGTTACCAAGTTACATAAGTATGACAGAATAGCTAAATATATGTCCTTTCCTCACTGAATATGTATAGTGTTAGCCGCTGTTTGAAACTGAAATTCTGCCTCTTTATCTCAGGGACTGTACATACCATTTTCCTCAGCTTGAACATCTGATTTACACACCAGAAAGTTTGGGCTGCTGTTCTTGTTTGGATTCCATCTCCTTCAGAATTTTCATTGTCTCTCAAAAAATAAAAAAGATATTCGATGATTTAAAAAAAAATCACTAACATTTCCTGCTGATTCTACCCTCTTCCTTCTAAGTCAATCAAAACAAATCAGCACGTAGCAACAACCTTCATTCCAAATGTCTAGTGTACCACCTTTCTACTGAGAGGTAGATTCATTCTTCACCTAAAGCCTTCTTTAGTCATCACTGAATTGAGCAGAGTCCTAACTGAGCAGAGTGTCTTATTGTTCTATATCCCCCTGATGGTCGTTTGCAAGTCTGATTGTTTTATAAAATAATTTGTTCCTTTCTTTTTTCAGGCATGTTGTTACTTGAGATCCTGGTGTACACAGGGGGGATGCCTCTAAAGTTTTTTTGTTTTGTATTTCATAGATTATCCATGCTAGGGTCCTGTATTTCTGGCATGGAAAGTTAAAAACATCTCCCTTTGGGCTATCGAGTTAACAGTTTAGTTTTGTGATGACCTGATAACTCTGTCAAGCAGAATCTTTAAACTTGAACTCAGAGCTCATCAGAGGTTCTGTGAGCCCAAAGAAGTTGGATTGCTGATGGTTCCAGAGGCTCTGCTTCCTACTCCTGCCCCCCCCCTTTTTTTACTTGAAGGGATGGAGGAATTTGGGAGAGACTAGACAAAATCCTGTTGTTCCATAGAAATATCTTGTGCTGCATCTAAAATAAGGTAGTTTGGCTTATAATCACAATGCTTTGCACTTGTATATAACTTTAAAATTTACAAAGAACTTTTACAAATATTATCCTCACTTATCCCTCACTGCAAAGGACATCCCTCACAACCCTTGGAAGTAGTTGCTATTTATTATCTCCATTTTGCAGATGAGGAAATTGAGGCAGACACAGGTTAAGTGATTTAACCAGGATCATACAGCTAGTAAGTGAGTCAGAATTTGAACTCAGGTCTTCCTAACTCCAAGTCCAGTTCTCTATCTACTGTACCACCTGGCTTCTCTTAGATGAACTCTAAGCCCTTTCCAGCACTAGATTTATAATCCTATGGTCCTTTTTATATTGAGCTCATATACTTTTTGGAGCTAATATTGCAGCTTAGTGGTACAGTGGATAGAGTGCCAGGGCTTGGAGTCAGGAAGACTCATCTTCCTGAGTTCAAATCTGGCCTAAGATACTTACTAGCTGTGTGACCATGGGCAAATCACTTAACTCTGTTTGCCTCAGTTTCCTCATCTGCAAAATGAGCAGGAGGAGGAAATGGCAAGCCACTCCAGTGTCTTTGCCAAGAAAACCCCAAATAGGGTCACAAAGAGTCGGACATGACCAAAAAAATGACTGAACAAAAATTATATCTTCAGGGCAGATCTGGGCCTGCCTGGAGAGCCAAGGGGAAAAGAATAGTGTTTTTAGCTTTATCATGTTCTGAAGGTGCTAAATTTATTAGAAAGTATAAGAATGTAAGTAAAATGACCTATTGGTATCTTAATTTAGGTACAATACCACATGCTGTCACTTCACTGGAATTAAAGTAACTGTAGCTGGTACCATTGCTGGTGTCAGAGGACCAAAATGCAGTAGTTCTTTTAATCTTGGGGCAGGAAATAGACTAAGGCAACAGTGTGAAAGAAGCTGAGAGGGATCCCAGTGTCCCAGAATGTTACATTTGAACTAACCTGGGAGGAGTCAGATCCTTGCACAACTTGTGAAAAGCTTCATGCCGACTGGTTCTCTTTTCTTTCATTTAGGATGGATCAAGGACATAGGCTAGTTCTCTCAGATATGGCTCTCCTGTCTCGTATCCTTTGCTCAGAAACTGAATTCTGGGAGTGTAACGTTCACATCTGTGCTACATCTAAGCCAGGTGACTGCTGTGGCAGCCCTGTATTTATGACTTTGCTTTTGTTGTGCACAGAGCACACTGTGGTAGGAATGAGAGATAGCAAGGAAGGGAATACAATTTAATACAAATTGCCTATCTCTCCAGACTTCTATATTTAAAACAAGGACAGTTTAACATCTGGATATTTTCTCTTTCACATTGTAGAAGCAACAAGCAATCCTCTTCCTCCTCATTCTCTCCTTTAGAAATATTAGGAAAGCATTTTTAAAATTATCTTAGTCTGAAAGGGAAACTTTATCAGTCTTTCTTTAACTAACAATTCTCTATTAACTGACTGCTCCCCTCTCTCTGATTAGCCTGGGAATGACTGTTCCCTTGAAGCAATTAGGGCTGTGAGCAGAAAAGGGCAAGGGGCCCTTCACTGAGTCACCTAACAAGAGTAGATTCTTTCTTTATTCTTTGACCAGATTAGGGCAATTCTGGATTCACCTTTGATCTGCTGGAAAGGAGCACCCTTGAAGGGAGTGGTCAGAGAGAGATTAGATGTTTTAGGAAAATGATTCTCCAAGTGTGGGTTGAAAATTAAATACTGTTGTTCTGTTAGAAAAAGCCAACTGTTAAACTGAACTGTTACCTAATTGAACTGTACCTTTGCTCAATTTTGATTGTGAAATATACTTTGTTTAAGAATCCTATAAATTGGGACCTCAAAATTATCTGTTAGACAAATGTCTGAGGGCATGAGGAAACTCAGTTTGGACTTTTTTGTAACTAGGATAGGGCTTAGATTTAGATTGGTTATAAATTAAGAGCAGTTGTTTCTGGTAGGCTTCTGCTTATAACGCAGAGTACAGATTTTTTTCTTTGACAGCTTGAACACTGTTTTTGAGAGTTGATATGTGAACTTCTCAGTAGCTTATAAGTGTGAATTGCTTATATATGTGTGTGTATATGTATATATGTGTGTATCTGTCCATCTGTCTGGTTTGCCTTTTTCTCAGGGGTATTGAGGCCAATCCATTTTGGAAACAATTTGATAGGATTAAAACTATGTCGGTAAAAAACAATTCTTTAAAAACTGTGGGCATGGGAGAAAATGAGGGTCAATAGTCTTCATTGCTTTAAGGGAAAATTTTTAAAAAATAATATTATTTTTCTTCATTTTATAGAAAGGAAAGGATTTTGGATATTTTCCAAAAGATGCAATCCAAGTTGAGGAGGTTTTCATTTCTGAAGAAGTTAAAGTGCCAACTAAAGTGAGTACAAACCTCCATTCTCCCTAATTAATCTTAAAATTATTCTTAGATCATAGCATTCTTATGGCATGTTTTCCAATCCTTATCAGTTATGTGCTTTTCAAGCTGGCCAGCTAGGGTTTTTTAAATACCTACTATGTTCCAGACACTGTGCTAAGCACTGAGGATACAAAGAAATGCAAAAATAGTGACAGTCTAATGGAAGAGACAAACATGCCAAAAACTATGTACAAATTAGGTGTGTGTGTGTGTAAATAACCATATTTTACACACACACACACACACACACACACATATACATATACATATACATATACATATACATATACATATACATATACATATACATATACATATACATATACATATACATATACATATACATATACATATACATATACATATACATATACATATACATATACATATACATATACATATACATATAGTAATATCAGAGGGAAGGCACCAAGACTGAGGACTGGGAAAGGCTTTTTGCAGAAGGCTCAACTTTAGCTGAGACTTGAAGGAAGCCAGGAGCTCTAGGAAGTAGAAATGAGGATGGAGAACGTTCTGGGCATAGGAGACAGACAGTAAAAGTGTTCAGAGTGAGAAAATGGAACATCATGTGCTTATGAGAAACACCAACGAGGTCATTGTCACAGGATCACAGAGTCCATCAAAAGGAGTAAGGTAGAAGAAGCAGGAAAGATAGAAAGGTTATGGAGAGTTTTGAAAACTAAACAGGAGATTTTATATTTGATTCTGGAGGTAACAGGGAACAATTGCATATGGTTGAATATGGGGTGATATGATCAGATTTGCATCTTATTTTATTTTTTTAATAATTTATTTATTTATTTTTAGTTGTCTTAGAAAGATTACGAAGATCACCTGGCAATATAATATTTAATTTTCAACGTTTGCTTTTATAGGATTTTGAGTTCTAAATTTTTCCCCCTCCTTCCAGTCCCCTCTCCCTAAGATGGCATGCAATGTGATATAGGCTATACATGTATGATCATATTAAACATATTTCCACATTAGTCATGTTGTGAAAGGAGAATCAGAACAAAAGGGAAAAACCATGAGACCGAAAAAAGAGAGAGAGAGAAAATAGTATGCTTCGATCTGCATTCAAACTCCATAGTTCTTTCCCTGGAAATGGATAGCATTTTCTATCATGAATCTTGGAATTGTCTTAGATCCTTGCATTGCTCAGAAGAACGAAGTCTAACAGTCAGTTATCGCACAATGTTGCTGTTACTATGTACAGTGTTCTCCTGTTCTGCTCATTTTACTCAGCACCAGTTAAGCAAGTCTTTCAAGGTTTTTCTGAAGTTGTCCTGCTCACCATTTCTTATGGAACAATAGTATTCTAGTACATTCATACACCACAACTTGTTCAGCCATTCCCCAATTGACAGGAATCCTCTCAATTTCCAATTCTTTGCCACCACAAAAAGAGCTGCTATGTATATTTTTGTATATGTGGGTCCTTTTCCCATTTGTTTGATCTCTTTGGGATGTAGCCCTAGAAGTGCTATGGCTGGATCAAAGAGTATGCACATTTTTGTAGCCCTTTGGGCATAGTTCCAAATTGTTCTCCAAAATGGTTGGATCATTTCACAACTCCACCAACAATGTATTCGTGTTCCAATTTTCCCACATCCTCTCCAACATTTATCATTTTCCTGTTTTGTCATGTTGGCCAATCTGATAGGTGTGATGTGGTACCTCAGAGTCATTTTGATTTGCATTTCTCTAATCAGTAGTGATTTAGAGCATTTTTTCATATGACCATAGATAGCTTTAATTTCTTCCTCTGAAAACTGCCTATTCATATCCTTTAACCATTTATCAATTGGGCAATGACTTGTATTCTTATAAATTCAACTCAATTCTCTATATAGTTTAGAAATGAGGACTTTATCAGAGACAATGGCTATAAAAATTGTTTCCCAGCTTTCTACTTCCCTTCTAATCTTGGTTGCATTAGCTTTGTTTGTGCAAAAACTTTTTAATTTAATATAATCAAAGTCATCCATTTTTCATTTCATAATGTTCTCTATCCCTTGTTTGGTCATAAATTCATCCCTTCTCCATAGATCAGATAGGTAAACTATTCTTTGCTCTCCTGGTTTGCTTATAGTATCAGTCTTTATATCTAAATCATGTACCCGTTTTGACTTAATCTTGGTATAGGGTGTAAGATGTGGGTCTATGTCTAGTTTCTGCCAGACTATTTTCCAGTTTTCCCAACAGTTTTTGTTAAATAGTGAGTTCTTATACCAGAAGCTGGGGGTTTGGGATTTATTAAATAGTAGATTACTATAGTCATTGACTATTGTGTCTTACATACCTAACCTGTTCCACTGATCCACCACTCTATTTCTTAGCCAATACCAAGTAGTTTTGATGATTGCTGCTTTATAATATAATTTAAGATCTGGCACAGCTAGGTCACCTTCCCTTGCATTTCTTTTCATTAGTTCCCTTGATGTTCTGGACCTTTTATTCTTCCAGATGAATTTTATTGTTTTTTCTAACTCTATAAAATAATTTTTTGGTAATTTGATTGGTATGGCACTGAATAAGTAAATTAATTTAGGAAGAATTGTCATTTTTATTATATTAGCTCAGCCTACCCATGAGCAGCTGATATTTTTCTAATTATTTAGATCTGACTCTATTTGTATGAAACAGATCTGCATTTTAGTAAGATCAGTTTGACAGCTGAAAAGAGGATAAATTGGAGAGGGTAGAAATTTGTGGTAAGTAAGCTGATCAACAGGCTATTATAATAGCCTAGGTGTGATATGATAAAGGCTTGCACTACAATGGTTGCAGTGTCATTGGAAAGAAATGGTAGATAGGAAAGGACTGGATTTGACCACTGATTAGAAATGGAGAGTGAGGGTGAGTTGAGAATGACAGGTTGTGAGCCTGGGAGACTGGGAGAATGGTAGTACCCTTGGCATTAACAGGGAAGTTATGAAGAGGATTAGCTTTGGGGAAAAAGATAATGAGTGCAGTTTTGGTCACACTGAGTTTAAAATGTCTATGAGATATTTTGTTAGAGAGGTTTAATAGGCAATTGAGGATTCAAGACTGGAGATTGGGAGAGAGGTTAGGGCTACACAAATAGATCTGAGAGTCTTCTGCATACAGATAATAAATAAACCTATGGGAGCTGAAGAGATCACTAAATGAAATAGTATAGAGGGAGAAGAGAAGAGGGCCCATGACACAGCCTGGGGAAACTCCCAACTACTCCTAACTTGAACCAAGAGATTCCTTTAGGAGTCATTTGAGTACTGTATCATTTTAGACATCCAAACATAGACAATAAACAAAACAAAATACTTTTCCTCTCTATCTGAATAATGCTTCTTCTTGTTGTATGCTTTGTATTTAAAAAAAAATCTCCTGGTTTGTCACAACCAAATTCTCATTTTTATCTAATATATCTTTCATCTATTTCACCTAAAACTCTCACCGCAGCTAGTGGAAGTTATCTGAGTTAAGTGGAGGAATTAAAATATGTCTCTGTATTTGGAAACTTCACTTTTGCCAAAATTCAGAGTGATGTGACATCCTCTTACAGGTAGCAGGAAGCAAAGGGAGAGTTGCTGGAGATATTACAGGGTACTGTACTTAGGTAGTTGGGAAGAGAGATCTACAGATGTGGAGAATGGAAGGAGTCAGGACAACATCTAAACTGAGGGGGTCACATCAAAATATTAACCAGGTTAGAGTAAGAGGAATGGAGCAGATACTGTACACGGGGAGAAATAGGAAGACCAGGATAAAAATCAGCTGTCAGGAGCCCAGGAGTCTGTCATTTGTGCTTGAAGCTAGGAAATGTTTGGGAAGAAGATAACTTACTGAACAACACTGTGTACCTCTGTGCAACTTCTACTGGAAAGAGAAGAAAGTCATGCCATCCCTATCCTCCCTTCCATTTTACAGGAAATGGCCAGCTAGAATTTGGAGAGAGATACCACCTTTACTATTAGTATATCTAATTAGTATACTTCCGTGGGGTCCCAGATTTCATTCCCTGCATTTTCTGTCAATGCAAGAACATTAACATTCTCTGAAGATTCCTAGGTTTGGTCTTCCATGGCATAAATTTTCCATTTGACATCAAGGGTCCTGATCATAAACTCCTCTTTTCCCACTATCCTTCCTGCCATGTTAGATGGATCTTTCTCCAAAGTAATTGACAGAGTAGGCCAGGTTGGGGAATGGGTGTACACTGGCTTACTTGGGAGCAACAGACTACTTAAAAATTTATTATTTCTTTAACAAGTTTGTGGGGGTACAGTCAAAGTGTCAAAATGGGAAAGGAAATAGCGGTAATACTTAGCAAACCCTAGAAATTGAAAGAGGTCCTGCGGATTTATGAGAACCTTAAAGTCTAACACAGCATCTACCTTCCATAGGTCCTTCAGTATCGATTAATTATTTTTGCTTACTTCTTACTTCTCAGTTGTGCTCCAGAGAATTGAAGGTTAGTGTGTGTGTGTGTGTGTGTGTGTGTGTCTGTACATACATATATGTATACACACACATATGTATACATATACACATGTATTTTATATATACCAAAGAGGTGATTTTCCCAAATGAGTTCTGCCTTCCAATTCAACAGTTCAACAAAATTTATTAAGTGCCTGCTGTATGCCTTAATATATTCAGTTCTGGTAAGATCTGTTTAAATAAGACAAAATCTATGCTCTCATGAAATTTACAATCTAGTAGAGGGATCTGATTAATACACAAATAACTATGACATAACAATAAATGATAAATTCATAGAGAGATACAAGCATAAGCATTATATGAAGTCTGAGAGGGGAAATTTGATTATTGATTGGAAAAAAGCAGGAAAGGCTTCCTGGAAAGGAGGTATTTACATGTAACTTTAAAAGGTAGATAGATACAACAGCAAGGAGGAGAGGAGTAAAGGAAATAGGATTGTGAGGTATAAGGAACATTCTTAACAGTGGCACATCAAAAGGAAAGTGTAGGATTTGTATGGGTGATAGAGAATGGTATAGTTTGGTTAAATAGGTACGGGGAGTGGTATGAAATAAGGAAGGAAAGGCAATATGGTGCCAGATCGTGGAGGATTTTGTATACCAGGCAATAGTTTTAATTTTACTAAATTAAATTTTGCTCAAATGAAATATTTGCCAAAAACATTTAGCACAGTGCTCGGCATACAGTAGACTCTATATAAATACTTCTTCCCTTTCCCTCCCCCGCACTACTAAATAGTCCATAGAAAGCCAGTGAAAGGTTTTATAAGCAGAAGAGTGACATGACCAAGTAAATCTGTGTGAGGGGAAGGACAACCTTGTTGCTGGTAGGGAGATAGGTCAAAGGTAATCATGATGCTCCAAATGGATTCAGGATTGCTCCCAAGCTGAAATCAGTTGAAAAGAATTTTCTAACTCCATGTCATAGAGTAGAGGTCAAAGAGTAGCAGTGAGGAAGAAGCAAAATAATTTTGAGAGACAGATTTAATTTCTCTTACTCGTCTCAGTTTGGATCTCAAAAAACTCATATAAATCTTGGGGATATGAAGCAATGCAAACCTTCCCTCCCATCCCACCCCCAACCTTAAACGAGGTAGAACAGCCCCTGAAGACAGAGTGCAAAGAATGGGCCAACATAGCAGCACGTAGTTTTATAATAGCTTTCTCTTCAAACAGCAGCCAGCACAAGCAGTTTTATAGTGGTCATAATGGAGGAGGAGAAGTGTTCCAGATGGGTAATAGATGTAGGACTGTGAATTGTGCTGGCTGCATGTTTTGCCTATGTATTTCTTCCTTACTCCTATAATTTGTTCATGAACAATACTGTAAATCTAAATTATGTGTCTATTGGGAGTTTATCTTATTGTAAGACATTGGCCAATACCTAATTTCTGCCAGACTGCTTTTCCAGTTTCCCCTGCAGTTTTTGTCAAATAGTGAGTTCTTACTTCAGTAGCTGTGGTCTTTGGGTTGGTCGAACACTGGGCTCTAGATAGATTTGTTTCTATATTCTGTGTGCTTAATCTTTCCCAATGATCAACCTCTCTCTATTTTTTAACCCATATCAAATGCCTAGTACATAGAAGAAACACTTATTTGAAATAAGAGATTCCCAGGATAAACTGCAGAAGAAGAGAATAATTCTGCAATAATCCCCTCTCCCCAGCCCTCACCCCCCCAAAATAACATGGAATAGTCACAAAGATTAGGTTGGAAGGCCATTAAAAGAAATAGAGGAAAAGATGAGGGTTAACAAGGGATCAAAGAGAAACAAGGCTTTTATTCTCTCGAGACTTTAAATGGACAATAATTTATAAGAATGCTGAGATCCACTTAAGGTGCCTCCAGTTATGAATATAACTGTAGAAATATGGCTAAATATTGGACCAAACTCCCATGTGGCATTGGATATATTTTCTGGTTATTGTATCCACCTAAAATGGTCAATTTTTCAGGAGCTAAATAACATTTTAAAATATCTTATTTTAAAAATGCGAGTATTTGAAAAGAATTGTTTGGTAAATGTGTCTATAGTTCTTTCTAGAATGTTCTTTTAGTTAAGAGGTACACTATTTAGAAAATATGCAGTTGTTTAAAGAACAACAAGGGTAAGAAGAAAAAAAGATTCATAAGGACCTATTTTAAAAATAGGATTATTTAGCCTGGAAATGCAAAGTCTGGGGGATAATCTCACATATTATTTTCAAGTTTGTAAAAGCCTATTGCATAGATTACATACATAATGACCAGAACGTGAAAGTTAGTCTCAAATTTTATGTACCTCATATTAGCTACAGAAAATAATTTGCTAACAGTAAGCAAATGATACCTATGGCATATATTACTGAGGAAGGCAGTGGAAACATTTAAGAACAAGAAGGATATTCATCCGTCAATTGATTTCGGTTATTTAGTACATTTTCCCCAGTAATATAAAACTATATCATTCTTTTAGGAATCTGACTTCATTTGTCTTCATGAAATAAATTATGAGTTTGAAAAGGAAGATAATGAAGTAACTGACTATTCAGATGCAGAAGAAAAAAACCAGGAATCTAATACAGATGGAAGTGAATTCCTGAGAACAGCTGAAATTTACTTAACTCCTGAAAATACTGAGTTAGATAACCAGTCCCCAACAACAGAGGGTCTAGAAAATACCAGAAGTATAGATGAACCAGGAGTCTGGGGAAAAGTAGAACCTGAGAGTTTAACGGAGAATGCTGCCAATCAAGAATCTCCAAGTCATGTTGCCCAAGTGGATCCTCCATCGTCTTCTTGGGTTACAGGATGGTTTGGTCTGGGAAGTGGAGTTGAAGAAGAGATTTTTGAATCAGTTGCTGAACCACAACAGCAAAATTCATTTCTCAGTAGAAAATTAGCTGTAAGTGATGAGAATGACTTAAAGGAGTTAAACATTGAACATCCTCTAGAAAAACATGAGTTAGAACCTACATCAGAGTTTGATCCTTACCCACTAGGAGAGCCTGCACCAGAATCTGAGCTTGAAGAAGTGCCTGATGCTCAGACAACTGCCTGGCTTGATGGTAACTTTATAGAATATTTTGGTTTTGGCCAAGGGGATCCAGGATTTAAGTTATCATCCAAAGAAAATACTTCATTACTAGAAAATACTTCACTACCACAAGACATTCCCATCACTGTTCCATCTGATCAAGAACCCATAGTTCCACAAACAGAAAACCCATCAGAAGTAGAGAAACCCAAGACAAATGATTACCCAGTTCTTCAGCCAAGTTGGTTGAATTTGCTGTACTTTGCATATGGCAAAAAAGAGCAAGTGAAAACAGATGAGCAACAAACAGAAGGCAGTACTGGAGGAAATGACAATGAAAATCTTTCATCAAGTGATTTTGACTTTGATAATAATGAGGAAACAGAAATTGACAAAACTGGGGAAATTAAAGATCAAACAGACAAGAAAAGGGTTTTGCAGGATCCAGGAGGTTCTGATACTTCACTTTATTTGGAAATGTTGTTGGATAATGCTGATAACCCTTGGAACTCCCACAATATTCCCAAGGAAATCAAGGAACCATTTTCCAAAAAAATTTGGGATCAAGATGAACCACTAGCAACTGATAAAACAGAAGAATTATCAGATGAAAGTCAAATCACAGAAAATGAGGAGGTTAGATCAAAAACCAAAAGCAGTCAGTCAGGTTGGTATGAAAATATTTAGAATCTTTTTTATTTTCTAAAATATTAGAAAGAAAAAATCCAGGAATCTGTAGTTTTCCAAGAAACATAAGCATCATTTATTATCTCCCTTTTGTATTTTAACTTACTCTCGGGCTTATGATTGCTTGTAAAACACTTTACAAATATTGTCATCTCATTCGATCCTCATAACAAGTTTGGGAGGCAGGTGCTATTATTATCCTAATTTTGCAGTTGAGGAAACTGAGGCAGACCAAAGTTAAGTGACTTTCCCAGTCATTCGGGTAGTGTCTAGGGCTGGAATTGAACTCAGGTTTTCCTGACATCAGTCCTAGAACTATATCTACCATATCACTTAGTTTAGAGCTTAATGGTATAAAAAAAATTGAGGGACAAAAGTGACATTTAAAATATCAGAGTTTCCTTTCTTCATTAATCATTTTATGAATGTTTCAAATGAATGAATAAAAAAGCATTTATTAAATGCCAAGTACTATGCTAAGTATAAGAGATACAAAAAAGCAGAGATAGCCCCTACACTCAAGGAGCTTACATTCTAATAGGAAGAAACAATATATTTTAGGGGAGGAATATTTGGCTTTGGAAATTTATAGGAATGATGAATGCAGCCATAGAGAAATAGACACACTTTTCCCAGTAGCAATGGTTGCATTAATTTAATTATGCTTCCAGAACTGGGAAGACGTAGGAGTAAGTGAGGGTGAGGGAGTGTCTCCTATGCTTCATTTTTGTTCCTTGATGGTTCCCAATCTGAATATGAGTCAAGAGCACAAAGAAACTGTCAGAAGCAAAAGCTCTTATCACCTGGCTAATAAACTATCTAGAGAGAACTAATATAGGTTTATCCCATTCCCTAATGAGTAACAGAAAAATATCTCTTCCTTCTCATTTTCAGACTCTAAAATGAAATATAAAGAGGAATCCCAGTGGCAACAAGTAGAAAAATCTCCATCTTCCACTCCTGAGGAAAACAGTGCTAAAGGTAATAAAATAGATGGCTTTTCTCACACTGAAGCTAATGATGCTATTTACATTCACCAAGATAATCAGGACTCATTTTCAGAATAAAAAATAGAAAATGTAGAGGCAGCTTTGGGTCTGGAGTTAGGAAGACCTGAGTTCAAAGCCCTGCCTCCAACACTTCCTAGCTGTATGACTCTAGAAAATCCTTTAATCTCTGTCTGCCTCAGTTTCTTCCCATACTGTATGACAGAGATAATAATAACGCCTACCTCCTATGGTTGTAGTGAGGATCAAATGAGATGATATTTGTAAAGTGCTATGCAAATTCTAGCTATTATTATTATTAGTTGATCCAGAACAACTATTCAGATTTCTGGCACTTACCATTCTAATAAAAAAAAAAAGTAGTTACGAAAGAAAGTGCCTTCTTCTCTTGAGCGAAAAGTCTGCAGATTATTGAAATGGTATCCAAAACCACTTGTAGTTTCAAACTCCAGGTACATTCATATGTTGAATAATGAACTCAAACAACAGTTTAAATAATGTTGTGGTTCATCATTTTGATAGAAAACCTGAAAGAGAAAAAGTGAGTTAGTGAAACCTGTCACTAGTTGTATGCCTTTCTCAAGTCACTTAACCTCTGTGGCCCTCAGTTTTCTGAACTGCAGGATGAGGGAGATTGGACTGGATGGCATCTGAGGTCCCTTTCCACTCTCCATCTATGATCTTATAATATTCTTTTTTTTTTTTTCAAGAAAAACCAGTATGTTTCACATAATACTTAGAAGATACTTTTCCCTCATGACTACGGGTGCTAATGAAGCTAAACTGCACATGTATCAATAATTATCCAGAGCTAAATCAGTTTTCTTTTGGTAGACAGCAGGCTAATACTCCCTGACATGATCAAGAGTCTCATGAATATGATATTTAGTTAAGAAAACCAGGTATTGAGCACATGGAGATTTAGATAGCCAGAGTCTACGAGCAAGATATGCATTTGAGGAATTTACCAAGTAAGACAATTCCTTAAAGCAAAGGTTATTTACTAAATAAACAAAGTCTTCCACTCAGAGAGGCTTTATGAAGTAGTGGATAGAGTCAGAAGACTGGGATTCAAGACCTTCCTCTGACATGTGTTGGCTACATAACTCTGGGCAAAACTACTCAGAATTTCATCGCCCTGGCAACATCCTAAGATTATAACTTACAGACTAGGTGCTGACCTTCATTTGTAGTAGGAGGCTCTTTACTAGACACTGGTCCAACACCTGCCTCTCCACAAAAAACTCTCCACATAGTTCTTCAAATATATAGATTATAATTCCCTTTGTCATCCCCTTATAATGTCTTCTTTATGGGAACAATTTCTTTTAAAGAAGCAAAGAACAGATTGTATTTTGAATCAATGAAAATATTCTTGATGTCCAAGAGTTCCAAAAGTAAATAATAGTATATTCTATAGTTTTATTATATGTAATAGTATATAGTTTTACAGAAAAGGAATTTTAGTCATTCAGCATTTCTTTGAATGTATGAGATTATAAGGAAGTTCAAGCAGAAATTAAATTCTGTGATTTAACTTATTTAAGCCTTTGATATTTGAGAGATAAACTGAAAGCAATACTATTTTAAATTGTTGTTCAGTTGTTTCAGTCATATTTGATTCTTTGTGACCCCATTTGGGGTTTTCTTGACAAAGATACTGGAGTGGTTTGCCATTTCCTTCTCCAGCTCATTTTATAGATGAGGAAACTGAGGCAAACTGTGTTAAGTGACTTACTTAGGGTCACATAGCTAGTCAGTATCTGAGGCCGGATTTAACCCAGGAAGATGAGTCTTCCTGACTCCAGGCCCTGGTACTCTATCCACTGCATCACCTAGCTTCCCATAATTTAAATTTAGCTCTTAAAAAATAGAGGCTCTAAATAATGATTGTTTTATCTTTCCATATTTAGGTGTCAAGATATTTAGGGATTTCCACCATCATAAAAAAATATAGGTAGCATTTTAAATAAAGAAGAATTATATAATGTGATTTACCCCAGATCAGGTAGATATTATGTATCAGAGGTGAGGTTTAACCGGGTCTTTTAGACCCAAAGTTCAGCTTTCTATTTGCTATGCTATGCTGCCTCACAAGAGCATTGAGAAGCATAAATGATATTAATCACTTAGGATATTATTAAATCACATGTTAGGTAGTTCTTTATTACTTAATGAACCTGTTATTTCATCTATGTGAATGTTCCCAATGACAATGCAGTAGACAAACCATTCGTGATAACCCATCCTATATCATTCTTGTCCACATCCGTTAAACACACCGCAGAGGGCCCTTCCTTTCAATCTCTTAACGTTGTGTGAACACCACTGGAGTATGAAGGTAATCCTTCAATTATCTCTCACTCTTAGTATATAGCTGATTAATGATATTTTCCCAGTCATAGTTCTCTGATGGCATCTTTAGGGAACTTTTACCATTCATTTCCACTTTTGTAATGTATTGTAGCCTGCTCACATCTGCCATTTATGTCTCCATTACTCTTTGGGTGATCTTCAATTTCATTTCTTCAGAGACTGATACTCCATCACTCAGTCACTCACCAGATGACAAAACATCACTAGAAGAATACTCAAGTACTATCAATGGATATGATCTCACCAATTTGTATATTCCCTCCAAGAGGTGATGCAATGGATAGAGTGCTAGCCCTGAAGTCAGGAAAACCTGAGTTCAAATCTAGCCTCATGCACTTACTAGCTGTGTGACTCTGGGGAAGCCACTTAACCTTTGTTTTTTTCCTCAGTTTCCTCAATTGTAAAATGGGTATAATAGTAGCACTTACCTCACAGGGTTCTTGTGAGGATCAATTGAGGTAATATTTGTAAAAAGCACTTAGCACAGTGTCTAGCACATAAATTCTTAATAAATTCTTTTTACTTTCTCTTACCTTTCAGTGATACAGATCACACCCCATCCACACCTGCCAATCCTGTGCAATTCTTGTTTACGTCCTCCTATAAATTCAATCCAGGGGAATTCACTAAACATGTTGGAGGCCTTTCTTGCTTTCTGCTGATATCACCAGGATGCTAGTGGAGTACTCAAGCCATTCACCTGTAATCACTCTCCATTACTATGTGACCAGCCCATCTTTGGTTTTATTGTACATTTTTCTCATATTTTTTGCTTCTGTTCTTCTTTGAAGTTCCTCATTGGCTATATTCACCAGCCTGTTCACACCCATTTTTCATGTTTTAGAAACTCAGTGTTCCATGTCTTGTGGTCATACTATACTGTAAGTCAAATCCTGTCATTAAAAAGATGGGCCTTTGTTTCTATTAGTATTTTGGGGGTCATTTTATAGAAGCTCTACAATTTCTTGAAGGCAATCCAACCCACTCACCTTGTCCTGTTAATTCTGGGTTCAAATGAATATTAATTTATGCTCTCTTTCCTAGATATACACACTTTTGGATCATCTCTGTGAGTTGTTCATTCAAATGAATATCATAGTCTGAACTAATAGGAATTCAGCATTCTCTTGGTTTTCCCTGTGTGTATAGTTAGGTCAAGCTCTTTGAAGTGATTGTGAACCTCTTCTAGGAGGCTCTGCAGCGTTCTGATGCTTGATGTAATCAGCACAAAGTCATCCACAGGCAGGAGTATTCATCATCTTTGAGAAGGCAGTTCTCTTTGATTTAGATGCTACACTAGATGTGTTCCATGATAGTGGCAAATAGCTTTGGAAAACTTATGTTATCCTGTTTTATGCCTCAACTCATCTTGGTTATAGGTGATTAAACAAAGTTATCTCTGTAACATTTTTAAAGGAATGTTGTTTGATTTTAGTAGGAGATTTTTTGCTTTTTTTGTAGTCAGCAAAGTCGGATCTTGTATGCTTTACATTTTTTTGTTGTTGTTGAATTGTTTGACTCTGAAGATGTGGTCTACTATAGGATGTAATTTGCTAAAACCTGCCTGTTCCCTTCTTATACCTTCGTCAGGGATAAACTCTGTCTGTGTAGATTATTACCATAAAGATTTTGTAGTGATGGGAAAGTAGACATATGGGTCAGTGGTTATTAATATTTTGTTGGTTATATTTTTGGGTAATAATAGGATCATAGGATGCTATATTAGAAGCTCAAAGATATTTGAAAGGCCATCAAGCCTACCCTATTCCCATTTTACAAATGAGGAAATTGAGTCATAAGCTTACACAGACTTAGTCTGTGAGACAGGATTTTAACCCAGGTCTTCCTGATTCCAAGTTCAACTCATGCTTCTAAGTTTTGTTTTTTTAAAAAATGTATTATTTTTAGTTTTCAACATTCACTTCCACAAGATTTTTTTCTCCCCATCTCATCCCTCCCCCCACCCCCAAGATGGCATGTATTCTAAATACCCCTTCCCCTAATCTGCCCTCCCTTCTATCTCTCCCCCACCTTCTCTTATCCCCTTCATCTTTGATTTTCCTGTAGGGCAGGATAGATTTCTATACCCCACTTCCTGTATTTCTTATTTCCCAGTTGCATGTGAAAACAATTTTTTTTTAACTTGTGTTTTTAAAACTTTGGGTTCCAAATCTTCTCCCTTCCTCCCTCCCCACCCACCTTCATTGAAAAGGCAAGCAACTCAATATAGGTTATACATGTGCAGTTACGCAAAACACTTCCATAGTAGACATGTTGTGAAAAACTAACTCTATTTCCCTTAATCCTATCCTGCCCACCCCCCATTTATTCTATTCTTTCTTTTGACCCTGTCCCTTCTCAGAAGTATTTGCTTCTGATTACCCCCTTTCCCAATCTGCCCTCCTCTCTATCATCCCCTTGCTCTCTTGTCCCCTTCTCCCCCTATTTTCCTATAGGGTAAGACAGATTTCCTTACCCAATTGATTGTGTATGTTATTCCCTCCTTAAGTCAAATCCTATGAGAATACGATTCACTCATTCCCTCTCACCTTCCCCCGTTTCCCCTCCACTGTTAGAGATTTTCTTTTCTGTTTTTTTGTGAGATAATTTACCCCATTCTACTTCTCCCTTTCTTCTTCTCTGAATATAATCCTCTCTCATCCCTTAATTCTATTCTCCAGATATGACCCCTTAATCTTCAACTCACTCTGTGCCCTCTATCTATCTATAGATACATATAATTTTTTTCCTCCAACTACCCTAATACTGACAAAGGTCTCATGAGTTATAAATATCATCTTTCCATGCAGGAATGTAAACAGTTCAACCTTAATAAGTCTCTTATGATTTCTCTTTCCTGTTTACCTCTTCATGTTCCACTTGAGTCTTGTATTTGAAAGTCAAATTTTCTATTCAGCTCTGGTCTTTTCATCAAGAATGCTTGAAAGTCCTCTATTTCACTGAATGACCATTTTTTCCCCTGAAGGATTATACTCAGTTTTGCTGGGTAGGTGATTCTTGGTTGTAATCCTATCTCCTTTGCCCTCCAGGAATATTATATTCCATGCCCTGCGGTCCTTTAATGTAGAAGCTGCTAAATCTTGTGTTATCCTGATTGTGTTTCCACAGTACTTGAATTGCTTCTTTCTGGCAGCTTGCAATATTTTCTCCTTGACCTGGGAACTCTGGAATTTGGCTACAATATTCCTAGGAGTTTTCCTTTGGGGATCTCTTTCAAGAGGTGATTGTGGATTCTTTCAATTTCTATTTTGCCCTCTGGTTCTACTATATCAGGGCAGTTTTCCTTGATAATTTCTTGAAAGATGATGTCTAGGCTCTTTTTTTTTGATCATGGCTTTCAGATAGTCCAATAATTTTTAAATTCTCTCTCCTGGATCTATTTTCCAGGTCAGTTGTTTTTTTTTTCTTTTTTTTAATTTTTTTTTTTTTAGTGAGGCAGTCAGGGTTAAGTGACTTGCCCAGGGTCACACAACTAGGAAGTATCAAGTGTCAGAGGTTAGATTTGAACTCAGATCCTCCTGACTCCAAGGCCAGAGATCTATCACACTGTGCCACCTAGCTGCCCAGGTCAGTTGTTTTTCCAATGAGATATTTCACATTCTCTTCTATTTTTTCATTCTTCTGGATTTGTTTTACAGTGTCTTGATTTCTCATAAAGTCACTAGTTTCCAATTGCTCCATTTTAATTTTTAAGGAAGTATTTTCTTTAGTAGGCTTTTGGACTTCCTTTTCCATTTGGCCAATTTTTCTTTTTAGGGCATTCTCCTCCTTATTGGCTTTTTGGACCTCTTTTGCCATTTGGGTTAGGCTATTTTTTAAGGTGTTATTTTCTTCAGTATTTTTTTGGGTCTCCTTTAGCAAGCTGTTGACTTGTTTTTCGTGATTTTCTTGCATCACTCTCATTTCTCTTCCCAGTTTTTCCTCTACTTCTCTTACTTGCTTCTCAAAATCCCTTTTGAGCTCTTCCAAGGCCTGGGACTGATTCATGTTTTTCTTGGAGGCTTTGGATGTAGGAGCTCTGACTTTGTTGTCTTCTTCTGGTTGTATATTTTGATCTTCTTTGTCACCAAAGTAAGATAATATAGTCTGACTCTTTTTGTGCTCTTTTTGTGCTGCTTTCTCATGATCCTGGCCAGTTACTTGAGTTTTAAACTCTTTGTTAAGGTAAGAGTCTGCTTCCAATGTGGAAAATGTACTGTCCCAAGCTTCAGGGGTTTATATAGCTGTTTTCAGAGATACTTTTAGGGACCTGTAAATTTTCAGTTCTTGCAAGTTGGTATGATAAGGGGCGAGGTGTTTACGCCTTTCCTGGCCTGTGCTATCATCTATTAGTGACCACAAGCACTCCTTTCTGTCCCAGAACTGTGAGGAGGGTTTCCTCTCACAGCCACGACAAGTTCCACCGTGCCAGTGCTCCTCCTCACCCCAGGACCGCTGCCCACCCCTCTGATCAGCCACTCGATACCCCCTCAGTCTGTGAGCCGGAAGCTCGGGAAGCAGCTGCCTACCCCAGGCCCATGTTCTTAGGGAACTGGATCTGAGACCCGGCCTTCCTGTCTCAGCACCGCAGAAACAGACTTTTCCCACTGACCTTCTATGTTGTCTTTTGCATTCCTGGATTGAGGAGTCAGGAAACTGCCACAGCTGCCCATGATTCAGTCCTCTGAGGCCTGCTCCAGGTTTGCTGCGGCCTGTGCTCCCACGCCGCGCTGCACTCCTCTATCAACCTGGCGCGATAGACTTTTCTGATCAATCATCCAGGTTGTCTTGGGCTGGAAATTTGTTTCACTCTGTCTTTTTGTGGGTTCTGCTGCCTTAGAATTTGTTTAGAGACATTTCTATAGGTATTTGGAGGGGTTTGGGGGGAGAGCTGAAGCAAGTTGCTGCTTTTACCCTGCCATCTTGGCTCCACCCCCCTGGGTTAGGCTATTTTTTAAGGTGTTATTTTCTTCAGCATTTTTTTGGGTCTCCTTTAGCAAGCTGTTGATTTGTTTTTCATGATTTTCTTGCATCACTCTCATTCTCTTCCCAGTTTTTCCTCTACTTCTCTTACTTGTTTCTCAATCTCCTTTTTGAGTTCTTCCATGGCCTGGGACTGATTCAGATTTTTCTTGGAGGCTTTGGATGTAGGAGCTTTGACTTTGTTGTATTCTTCTGGTTGTATGTTTAGATCTTCTTTGTTACCAAAGAAAGATTCTATGGTCTATTTTTGCACCTTTGTTTATTCAAGATCCCAGCGAATTACTTGAGTTTTAAACTTTTTGTTAAGGTAGGGGTCTCCTTCCAGTGTGGAGCTAAGTTTTTTTTTTGATATACTCCCATTTTCAGAAATGCTTTGAGAAAAATGCAAAATAGCAAGAATATTAAGATCAATATGACACAGTTCCTTCAACAGTATTTCTACTCTTTGGTCACTAGACAAAGATGTAACATTTAGAATTCTAATAGCTAAGTTATTATAGATTAACTAAACACTGTGATTCTTAGCCTCAGACCCTTTTCTTCTTCTCTGTTGTTGTCACACCAGAAGGAAGGGGCTATAGTGAACTGAGTACTATTTTGCATTTTTCTCTTTTCCTATGTTACCACCACCAAAGAATTCATCACCAAATGGCCAGTCGATTGGAGATGAGTCATTTGGAACTTAGCTAGGCCTGTCCTTAATAGAGTAGACATATTCTGTTTCTGGTGTAAACTCCTTATTGGTAAGGGGCTCATGGGAATTATAGTTTTTCCCAGGTGGAAAAAGGTGTGAAGGGGCAATGGAAGATACAACCTCTGTAATTAATAATAATAATAATAACAATAGCTAGCATTTATGTGGTGCTTTAAGGTTTGCAAGATGATTTAAAATATTATCTCATTTAAATCGTTGCAATAACATTGGGAGGTGTTATTGCTATCCCCATTTTACAGATGATAAAACAGAGGTAGACAGAGGTTGACTTACAAGAGTCTCTTCTTTTTTATTATTATTATTTTTTATGAAATGCTCCAATAATTAGAGAGGTACAAAATGGAACTTACCTGGAAAACAAAAACAAAGAACTGAAGGGTAGAAAGAAAGTGATGATAGAAACAAAAGTAGAACAAAATTTTCCTTATCTATTCATAGATAGTCACTAAAATTAAGTTAACTATAATATTTAATGAGGAAGGTTATCACAAAATTGAATCATTTCTACACAGTAACTAGCAATAAAAAATATCAATCTTTTTTGCATCTGCTCAGGTCAAAATCCATAGTTCTCAGGAAAATATTATTTTAAACAAGAAATTCCAATCAAATAGCTCATCACTTTAAAACAATGTTGCCCCAAACAGTGAGAATTATTCTCTATTCTATGAAACAACTAGAGAAGCAAAACAAATCTATAAGCAATATAATTTGAAATGTAAACGTCTTTTCTTTCCTAATAATTAGCAGAAGATGTGCTTCAGTCTCAGATACTTGAATATTTACTTCAGCTTAAAATGTATGACCTCCTGATGTCTCCAAAAAAGGTAAATTTTTTTTTTCATATCTATATCACTAAAGAAAGAATTTCTCACAGTGTGATTTCTTTTTTTTTTAAATTAACTTATTTATTTTTAGTTTTCAACATTTACTTCCACAAGATTTTGAGTTCCAAATTTTCTCTCCATTTCTCTGCTCCCCTCTTCCTTAGATGGCATGCATTCTGAATACCCCTTCCCCCAATTTGCCCTCCCTTCTATCACCCCTCCCCCTTCTCTTATCCCTTTCCCCTTCTATTTTCCTGTAGGGCAAGATAGATTTCTATACCCCATTGCCTGTATATCTTATTTCCCAGTTGCATGTAAAAACAATGTTTAACATTTGTTTTGAAAACTTTGGATTCCAAATTCTCTCCCTTCTTCCCTCCCCACCCACCCTCATTGAGAAGGCAAGCAACTTGATACAGGTTCTAACATGTGTAGTCATGCAAAACACTTCGATAATAGTCATGTTGTGAAAAACTAAGTATATTTCCCTTCATCCTATCCTGCCCCCCATTTATTCTGTTATCTGTTTTGACCCTGTTCCTTCTCAGAAGTGTTTGCTTCTGATTACCCCATCCCCCAATCTGCCCTTCCTTCTGTCATCCCTCCTCTCTTATCCCCTTCCCACTATTTTCTTGTAGGATAAGATAGATTTCCATACCTAATTGAGTGTGCATACTATTCCCTCCTTAAGCCAAATGTTATGACAGTAAGATTCACTAATTCTCCCTCTTCCCCCTCCACTGTGAAAGCCTTTTCTTTTCTGTTTTATGTAAGATAATTTACCCCATTCTACCTCTCCCTTTCTCCTTCTGCCAGTATAATCCTTTTACCCCTTAGTTTAATTTTTTAGATATCATCCTTTCATCTTCAACTCACCCTGTGTCTTCTGTCTATATGCTATATATATATATATATATATATATATATATATATATATATACATATTTTTTTTTCCCCTCCAACTACACTAATACTGAGAAAGGTCTCATGAGTTACAGATATCATCTTTTCATGTAGGAATGTAAACAGTTCAACTTTAATAAGTCCTTTATGATTTCTCTTTCCTGTTTACCTTTTCATGCTTCTCTTGAGTCTTGTATTTGAAAGTCAAATTTTCTATTCAGTTCTGGACTTTTCATCAAGAATGCTTGAAAGTCCTCCATTTCACTGAATTTCCATTTTTTCCCTGAAGGATTATACTCAATTTTGCTGGGTCACAGTGTGAATTCTAATTGCATAGTCTATGTTAAACTTATTTTTCACCTTTCATCATGAGTTGTTGATCTGAACATAGGTGTCTTTTTGCAATGAAGAGAAAGTAAAAATAAATGAGTTAGCCTGGAAGGAATACAAAATATGGAATGAACATTAAGTTATTGATATATAAATAAGTATTCTGCCCTCAAAGATTGTGTAGTGTAATGATCAGATACAAAAGCAAGATCTATCTAAATTCTAACCAAGCTGATGTTAAACTTCAATCATTTAGTATTTCTTTTGTTTATCTGGCCTCCCCTGTTGTCAAAGCGATAATCAAAAGAGTATATGAATTAGTAAGCCACTTTTTAGCCACTTTAAGCTATTTTACATATAAGTTTAAAATAAATTATTTTAAATTCATTTTTGTCAAAACATTTTAGAAAAAGAATGAAATCCCATGTCCTTAATCTATAATTTGTGGGTTTCAAAATCAGTCATTTAAAACTTTGGAAAAATAAAAATTACTTATTAAAACACTTTCAGATTAACATAACACAAAACATCATTATCAATGTATTTTCCTAGCATTTTCAGGGAATGAGGTATACAAAGAAATGAAATATTTGTCTCTTTAAGCTTTTAAAGCTTTCAAAATTTAACCATTTTATAGAAAAATATATCTGGCATATATATATATACATATATGTATATATATATATATTTATTTATTTATTTAAAATATATGATATATCCTCCACTTTCAAGAAGGATGTGCTGCAAATTTTTCTTTTTTAATGACCCAATTATTCTATTGTGCCGTGATACTCTCAAAAGAGGCAGCGTAACATAGAGAGCCAGAGTCAAAACCAAGAAGACCTTATGCAAATCATTTAACCTCCCAATATTTTGGGCAACTCTCTATTTATAAATTGCAGAGGTGTTGACCTGCATTGGAATAGGGTGTTTCCTCATTTGGGAGTTACCTCCATAGGTCTAATAACTAACCCTACAATAGCATCTTAAGGGCCTGTTGAAGCTAATTTGCTCTTATACTAACCACAAAATCTATGTCCTGAGTTCTTGTTTCTTCTTTTTATGGCTTTTTTTTTCTGCCTTATTTAAAGATGTTTAAATTTACTTGAACTTTTAAATTAAAAAAAAATTAAATTTAGCAATACATTTTCTTTGGGCAATACAACAGACTTCTCCCAAAATTCACCATTCGCCATATGAAGTACGTTCCCCTAATCCAATATGTAGTTTTTAACTTAAATTTTCTTTTTAAATTATGAGTTTAGATATCAACAGACTTGAACATTTCATACAAGGAAGAACAGAGAAAGAGGATTGTATATGAAACTTTAATCTTCTATTTTCTCATGTAGCACAAATTCTGGGCTCACTCTACCAATTTCCACTTGTGTTGTCAAGCTGGATACTATTTCTCCTTTCAGGGCTCTAGGAGTAACCTTGAAGGGCTGGGGTTGACTTTTTGGTACTATTACTCATAAGTCTGTATCTAATGTGTTCCCCAATGTCATTTAAACAATTGATATCTCCTCAATATGAATGACCATCAATTAGCTTTAACAAAGGAATACTTACTAAAAAGGAGTGGCAGAGACCAAAGTACACCACCATTTCCCCCCCAAACGTGGGACATACTGTCCCACAATTGCATACAGAGTCCATGGGAAAATGAATTCAGATTTAGAGAGCATATATAGCAAAAGTGTAATTCATGGTTACTTGTCAGATCCTTTGTCCTGTAGTCCTCATGTTCCCCTGAGGTATGTGTAGCTACCTACAGGACTCTGAGAGTTAGTAACCTTGTCCTGTCCTAAGGCTGCCTGTCCTTGGTATGTCCTTGGTTCCAGTTCAGACACTGTGAGACATTCTTACCTTCGATTATGGAAAGACCAAATTTTCTGACTTTTCAAAGTTTTCAAAGTCTTCTGGTGAGTGGGAGGGGAGTAAGGAAGAAGACAGACTTTGTCTTCTTACAATTCCCTCTCAATGGCTTATCTGCAACTGCTCTACCATTTAGGCTGGCCAGTTAGTTGTTTTTCTTCATATGAAACCAATATACTTGTACTACTTTGTCTCATTTCATCTGGTGGGTCTAAGTATTTTACTCCTCCAAATTAAGGATTTTTTCCCAGTCCTAGTTTATGCCTTTGATTGATTGATCCAATAGAGGTGTCCAGGAATTGTTCACACCTATTTTATACCTTCAATTGACTAATCCTGCAACATAAAGAGATGTTGTCACTTGATAAAGATGTCAAGGCATATAGCATTTGTTAATTTCATTAACTATAGTGGGGATGATTGGCTGATTTAGTAGAAAATTCCATAATCTGTGTTGGATTGAAGTGGGGTTGACTCCTACCTTTAAGTATTTTTTCCCTGAAGTGTAGCCATATAATCTATGGGTCTGTATGTTAAATTTAACATGACAGTAACAAAATCGCCCTGCTTTTTTATGTCTTCCTCTAATGTTCCTTCTTCTTTCTTTTGTATATTTTAAAATACTTTATTGCTCTTATTATCCTAATGTTTTCTTTTTGTGGTCATCACTATCATTACCTATCAATATTTCCCCTTGCAAATACTTTGCCTCTTAAGTAAAAATGTCTCTTATAACAAATTAATATTGCAAAGCAAAGCCAAACCAAACATAGGCTATTTCTGAAAATGTGTGTCTCATTCTGCACCTGAAATGAAACAAAATGAAATATTTCATTACACTTACATTGCCTAATTTGTTTAACCATTCCCTAATTGATGGGCATTCACTTTGTTACAATAGAAAGTATTACCACAAACAGTTTTGTACATATGGATCATTTCCCTCTTTCTTTGCCCTGTTTTGGGGGCATGAGTCTAGTGGTGGTATTGCTGGTTGAAAGTCATAGTTTAGTGACTTTTTTTGAGCTCCAAATTGCTTTCTGGAATGGTTGGTCTCATTGACATCTCCCTCAACAGTGCATTAATGTGACTCCTGTCCCTTAGCCCCTCCAAAAATTATGATCTTTTTGATGGTCTTTTATTATTGCTGATTCGGAGTATTTTTTTTCATATATTATTGATAGCCTGTGTTTCTTCATCTGAAAATTGCTCATTAAGATCCTTTTACCATTTATCTAATGGGAAATTACATTTGCTCTTTGCTGTATTTGAACCAATTCCCTCTATATTTTGCATATAATTTCTTTATCAGAGAAATTTGTTGCAAGGGTTCCTCCCCACCCCCACCCCCAGGTAACTTTCCCTTTGAATTCTAACTACACTGATTTGGTTTGTGCAAAAACTTTTCAGTTTTATCTTTGATGTTCATCTCTCACTTGTTTGGTCAAGAACTTTTTTCCTGTTTAGAACTGAAAAAGGTATGTCCTGAGCATCTTCTTTCATTTGTTTATGAGATGACCTTTTCTATCTAGGTTAGGTATCCATTTGGAGCTTATTGTGGTTTATATTTTTGGGAACATATAGAAGATTGTTATGTATGTGTTATAAATTTGGTTGTTTATAAGCTATATATATATATACACATATAGTTATGAATAAGAATGATTACTTTTGACTATATAATTATAGATATATAGAGAGATTGTCATGAATGACAATGCTTATTTTAAACTATATAATTGTGTACATATATATATAGTTTTGAATGAGAAAAGTTATTTTGTATTGAAATATATTATGTAAAATATTTAAAATATTAATGTATATGCTGTTTGCACAACCTCTGCTATCTGGATTTCTAATTTTCAGGGACTGTAAATGTTTACTAT